TGAGGAGGAGGATGATGGAGCGCACTGCCCTGTGTCTGTGAAGAGCACTGAGGAGGACAATGATGGAGCTCTCCGTCCCATGTCGCTGTGAAGAACCCTGAGGAAGAGAATGAGGGAGCCCACAGCCTTGTCTCTGTGAAGATCACTGAGGAGGACAATGACGGAGCTCTCTGTCCCATGTCTCTCTGAAGAACCCTGAGGAGGAGGATGAGGGAGCCCACAGCCTCGTCTCTGAAGATCACTGAGGAGGAGGGTGACGGAGCCTTCTGTCCCATGTCTCTGTGAAGATCACTGAGGAGGAGGAGGACAGAGCCCTCTGTCCCATGTCTCTGTGAAGATCACTGAGGAGGACGATGACAGAGCCCACTGCCCTGTGTCTGTGAAGATCACTGAGGAGGAAAATGTTGGAGCCCTTTGTTCCATGTCTCTGTGAAGAATTCTGAGGAGGAGGAGAAGGAGGAGGAGGAGGAGGGAGCCCACTGCCCTGTGTCTGTAAAGGTAACTGAGGAGGACGATGAAGGCGTCTGCTGCCTGACGGAAACCTTAAAGGGGTTGGAGTGCCGGCATTGGAGACTCAGGACAGATGCCCCATCAGTCCCCAGATGGTACAGGGGGTGGGCACCCCCTCTTGGGACAGGAGGCCCTTGCCCTCCCAGCCCCTGTCACTTCCCTCTGTGCTCTGTTGAGAGGTGCATCTGCTGCTTCTCTTGTTTTCAGATGAGCCTCTGGGCTTCTCTTTTCTGTCCTCCCATCCTCTCGCCAGCCAAAGATCTTGACCCCGTGATCACAGGGCTGGACCCTCCTCCTGGCCTGCTCAGACCCATCAGCCTGGGAGACTGGACGCCTCAGTTGGGCAGCCTTGGCGTCCTCTCACCTCCTGCCATACCGAGGCCCTCCCTGAGTGAGCACCCTCGCCTGCCTGGCGCAGGGGCAGGACCAGCTGCAGGGCGAGTGGGCCCAGGTGCAGGGTGTGGTGGGTGGTGTCTCTTCATCCCCACAGCCTAGAATGACCCACGCCAGGTGTCTGACGAGGTTTTCTCTTGGTTCTTCTAGATTCTTCTGATGTAGAGCGACTGGAAAGATTCTTTGACTCAGAAGATGAAGACTTTGAAATCTTGTCCCTTTGAAAATCTTGGAGTCAGGGGACAGTCTCCACTGGCCCTTGCTGGGGGTGCCTTCAAGAGCCCAGCCCTGCCTTGGGGTGCTCGGTGCCGCCACATTTCATCCATCCAGCCCACCCACCTCCACCCTTGGACAGAGGACTGCGCTGTCCTGGAGGCCTTACTGCAAGGAGTGGAACTGCTTGGCCCAGAAGGCTCGGCTCGTCGGGGCTACAAGGTGTGAACGAGGAGCTGCCCGCAGGAAGCCCAGCACAGCCGGGTCAGGAGCTTCTGAGAGCAGAGCCTTCACCCTCCAAGAGCTCTTCCCGTGACACTGCCAGCCCCGCGTTAGTGCGTCGCCTCTGTCCTGCTTCCTCCTGGGCTCTCAGTTCTGGGTTTGATTTGGAATTAAAGTCCTGTTTGAAGTTACTCCACACAGACATGAATTTCTGTTGGGCGTGTCCCAAGTCAGTCTCAGAAGACCTGTGGCGGGCGTATGAGGAGTGACGCCCGCGGACTGGGCTGCCTGCCCTCTGCCCGGTGTGGTTTATCAAGGGCTACCTCAGTGGGAGATCGGGTGGAAAGAATTAGGGCAAGGTTTCTCCTTGCTTTGAGCAGAAAAATAGCAAAGGGGTGTGTTGTGGTGGAAATCCAAAGATGCCAGTGTGTGACTCACAGGGACAGAGACACGCCCGCTCTCCGGAGCCCGAGCGGGTGCGCCCCTCTCATGTCTCCTTGTGGGCTCTGGCATTGTGACATACCTGCGTGCTGCTGCTTTCTCAACGCGCCAGCTTCCCCAGCGTGGGTGGTGGGTGGAGGCTGACAGGGAGCTGCCCTGGCCTGTGAACCTCAGGCCTCTGGCAGGGTGTGCGGGGCACTGTGAGCCGGGCTCGTAGAGGCCAAGGGGTCCAGGGCATGCCGCCACCAGGACTCTTTCTCCTTCCCCTTGTCCTTCTCAGAACCGCCCTCCCAGTCACTGAGGCTTTGGACAGGTTTGGGGCCGGAGGGTAAAACTCTCAGCTTTATGGTGCGAGACAGGCGCCCCATCGCTCGTGGCATCAGCTTGAGATGCGTCCAGACCTTTCTCAGCACCGACTGCTCTCAGCACCTGCACCTTTAACCCTGGGGTCCGGCTGGAGTTTACTGCTCCTGCGGGCTTGTGGCTGTCCTGGAAGAGCGGCTTTTGTCCCACCATCAGTGTCAATAATGGGGTGGGAGCTCAGGGAGGCCTTCCTCCCTGGGTGGCAGCACTTGTGCGCACGTCTGGGCTATGCCTGTGCGTCCTGCTGGCCCACCGAGCTAGCAGAGGACACCCCCGCACCCCAAGCATTGCTGATATAAGTTATTTCCTTTTTTTCTCCTTTCTGTCGCTCCACCCCCCTCCCATCCCCTAGGTAGCATCAGGGTAGGGGAGGAGGGAAGGTTGGGACAGTTTCCATTCCTTCCATTCCTTCCGGGCTGCATCTTTCTGAAATGGCTGCCGCCGGCTGGGCGCCGGGGGTCGGGGGTCCTGTGCGGTCCTGCTGTTGGTGGACGGTGAAAGTGGGAGAGAACTGGACCAAAGGGGAGCTTTGTCTTGTGTGTTTTGAGAAAGACTTACTGAAGAGAATGTTCTTCATTCTTAGTAGTATAGTTTGCAATTCTTAATGGCAAATAACATTTTCAATAGAAAACAAAGCTTGTTGTCTATCTGTGTCTCCATTTTTCCTCAAGTCATAGTTGGATGTGACAAGAACAAGTACATATTCTAAGCTCTGGTGACATATGGAAGATTCTAAGTAAGGATTTGGTGGGCTGACGTGGCAAGCTTGTTTCCCCCAGACTTGGGCAAATGGCACCCGTCCTGCTTCTGACCCGGCTTTGCAAGCTGTGCCACTTGTCCTCGGCCTCTTGTGGCCCTGAATGAAAAAATGGCAGCAAGCTTGATTTTCGGAGTACACGAGGTCGCCTGCTTCCTTCAGCAAGCGGGGTGGTGGGAAGCATCCCCGGTGTAGCGTTAGCCTTAGCTTGAGTTATAAGAGCAGTGTCCTTCCAGATAAGCTGAGACTGCTGGCTGCGGGCAGGTGCTTGGTGCCTCAGCCAAGTCACCACTGCGTGGGTCACGCAGGAGGACATGAGCAAGGTCCGCTGGCCCTGCCTTCAAAGTCCTGATGGGATAATCAGAGTGACCCTGACCCGCTTGGCTCCCCCGCCTCCTCCCACCTGCCTGCCTGCCCACCTGCTCTCCAGTTTAGGTGCAAGGGGACCAAAGCCAGACAGGAAAGCAGGAAGCACTCTGCCGGTGCCGAGGCAAGGTGGCCCAGGAACCATGGCCTCTAGAAAATGCCCGTGTTAGCTTCTTGTGCTTTAAGAAAATCTCCACACTCAGTGGCTGGAAACACCAGACTTTCTCTCTCAGGATCCTGGAGGGCAGAGGTCTAAAGGTGTCGGCAGGGCTGGTTCCTTCTGGAGGCTCTACAGGAGAATGTTTACTTGCTTTTCCAGCTTCTAGAAGCCACCTGTATTCCTTGGCTCACAGCGCCTTCCACCATCTTCAGACCCAGCGAGGGTGCATCACTCAGCCCCGCTCCTCCTGCCATGGTGTCTCCTCTGACCAGGACCCTCTGCCTCTATTAGAGACCCACGTGACTGCACAGGCCTTCCCAGACGATCAAGGGTGGGCTCCCATCTCAGGGCACCTTTGCCATGCAGGTGCCCTGCTCACAGGTCTCAGGGATTAGAACATGGATGTCTTTGGGGGCTGTTATTCTGCCCATCACAATGCCCAACAGGGTTTTTTAGGGAGAGACAAAAAGTCAGTGGAGACAAGGCACTCCAGGGCATGCAGCCCCCTCAGCCATGCCTGCCACTGCAACCCTGGCCAGGATGTTTTAAAACAAGCTGTATTTGGGCCGGCCCCGTGGCTTAGCGGTTAAGTGTGCGCGCTCCGCTGCTGGTGGCCTGGGTTTGGATCCCGGGCGCGCACCGACGCACCGCTTCTCCGGCCACGCTGGGGCCGCGTCCCACATACAGCAACTAGAAGGACATGCAGCTATGACATACAACTGTCTACTGGGGCTTTGGGGGGGAAAAAAAAATAAATATAAAAAAACAAGCTGTATTTATGACAAAAGTGTATGTAGCCTGTGAATTTTGAGGCCTGTTGGACCATTTCTGCCTCCACTCCAGTCCCACTGCCCATGGCCTGCGGGATTCCACTCAGCTCCGGTCTCTCCTCCCCTGAGCTCCTGCCCACCTCCAACCCCACAGGCACACCCGGAGAGGGTGGTCTGTGCTGCAGCCTCCACCTCCCCCAATATCCTGACCCAGGCCCCAGAAAGTTCTAGTCCCATCTCCAGCCCTCCACAGCTCCAGCTGAGGGGGTCATGCTCAGCCCTTGTCCTGACCTGTGCTGCGTGCTCAGGGCACAGCCCAGACCCACCTGGCTCAATCTGGTCATCTCACCCAGGCCCACTGCCAATGCCGACCCACCCCGAGATCCCCAACCCTTCTCAGTGCCAGCCTGACCCACCCTGTAGTGGCCACAAGAGGCAGACAAACTACTGGTTTCAGGTCGTCTTAAGAAATAAACCCCATATTTCGTTTCCGTTACACAGTATGTGACCCTGGTTATGTAAAATTCAAAAAGATAAGTTAATGACAGTGTTGCCAAGGCATCTGTGCTGGTGCCCTGGGACTCTTTTAATGAAAACGGTCTAACTCTGCACGCAGATCCTGATTGCTTGGTCTGGGTGGGCGTAACCAGACCCTTCAGATGGACAGATGCCTGAGGCTGACCTGTTGCCATCGGCAGGGCTGCAGGGAGCTTCTCAAACTGTGAACAGACAACACACAACTGTGCTCCCCAAGACTGTCCCCTCTTGACTCTCTGAGCGTGCACTGCAACCCACTGTCCTCACCTGTCATTTCCTTTGTCCCCCGTCCAGGTGCCACCCAGGTACCAGGACCGAGGTCTGGGCTGCCTGGACACCTCCTGGCCCTACACCCACCTGCCGAGTGACCGTGGGCGAGGTGGGCAGCCTTGTCTGTGGAACCCAGACAAGAATGGACCCTGCCTGGTGTGAGGGAGCCAGGGGCCTGCCGCTCTGCAGGAGCTGCCAGGCCCACACAGGTTCTGCCCCAGCCCTGGGGCAAACCGTCTTACAGCTCGGTGTTTATGCAAACATCACGTCCTTGTTCTGCCTGGAATCCAGTCTCCCAGCCACAGGAGGAAGGGTGCTGAGACCCGCAGCCTGCAGCTGCTGCCCCTTACTGATGGGGGGCCCTGCCCAGACCCCCGCCGGACGCCTTGGGTGAGGCAGGCCAGAACCCCGCTTGCCTTCCACTCCAGATTACACTGCCCTCTGCCAGCGGATTCTACTAGAAGTGTCAACAGCCCATTCCATCTCAGAATAATTTAAGATGGGATGGGATGAAAGTTACAGTCCTGGCATTTAGGATCATAACAGAACAGCAAAGCTAACATCGCGTGTGTTCAGACGAGACAGGTCATGTCACTGGGACATGGCCCAGTGAGGCCAGCACACGAGGCGCTCAGTTCCCCAGGCGTGGCAGACTGGTCAAGGCCGTGGCAGAGTCCCCAGATGAGGGCGGGGAGGCAGGTCCAGAGAGGCCCTTCTGGGCCCAGCGCAGGGCCCTCCCCACCAGGAAAGACTCCCGTAGGCAGGCTTGGCCCCCAGCTGCTGTCTAAGGAAAGGAAGGCCGTTCACAACACATTTTCAAATTAATTTTTATCAATGCCTATAAGAAATTAAGGAGGATTTCAAGTGATTGCCATTTCAATGATCTTGATGAAACTGCTTGGATATGGTTACCATTAAACTTCAATAAGAGAGGACGATCATTTATTGGTATCTTCAGGGTAAGAGAGGGCAGAGGGAGACCACTCCAATGTCTTGCCGTACTGCATGGAGTCCCCGGTGCGCCCCACTGGCTCGTGAGAGGCCTCTGCTTATCGCTGGCTCACGCACAGCCCCACATCGCGCAGTGTGAACAGTGTTGGCCCACATGTTGAGCCTTGCAGGCCTGCAGGGGAGGGCACAGTCCCTCCAGCGTCTCCTTTGGGCGCCATGTGTCTACTTCCACAGCTCCCCCAGCGGCCTCTGTGCGGCGGCCCAGATGGTGTCCTCACAGAGCTCGCAGATTTCCTTGTGGACATCTTCAATGCTTTTGGAAGCATCAACCATCTGTTCCCACAGGGGTGGCAGGAGAAAAAGAGGATGGTTAATGCTTGTCACTGTTCCCTGTGTGCGTGGGGATCTCAGACGGGGTGGGGTTCTGGAAGGCACAGTGTGGGCAGCTCTAGGGTCCTTCACCCCACACCTTTCTCTGACACTTAGCCTCGACTGGGGAGCATGGGTTTTGCTTGCGTCCTTGGGATGAAGTCACCCTGCACTCCTGCTGCAGCCCAGATGCAGGAGAAACTCTCACTCTTACTCCTGATCGGACCTACGCCCCTCCTCATGATCCCACAGGGGTACACGTCAGCAAGGTGCCCACACACCAGCTCCTTCCCACAAGCTGTAGGGCTCAGGTCATGCTGGGAGGCAGAGAGGGCAGCACCTGCCCCAGGCCACGCCCCTGCACCTCCGTGGCCATGCCTGGATGCTGCTTGGAACTTGAAGTTCTGCAGAGAAGCCAACCTTGAGTCTGAATCCTCTCCTCCCTGGGAAGATGAGTTTTGTCCTGACACAGCCAGGCTGTCCTCCTCTTGCCAAGAGGAAGGACATTTACACGTTAAATGCTATGCCCTACGTGAAAAGCATGAGGACCTGCAGTCACTAAGGGAGCCAGCCCCCGAGGGAAACCGCTCTCCTAAGGGAAGAAGATGGGGATAGACAGAAGTGCGGGCGTGCCTAGGAGTCCCCTCTTCCGTCCTTGTTCTGGGCCTAGGTCGAGCATCAGCCCTGGTGCGGGTGAGTCCTTCTAGACAGCCTCTGGGGCAGCAATTCTGGAAAAGCTTCTCGATTTTTTCAGACGTATTCAGAAGAATTTATGAGGTCTGACGATGCAGGAAAGAGAATGACTTCCTACCAACCCCAAGACCCCACACGAGTGTCACCTTCCTGAAAGTCACCTTGCCGGTCACCATTCCAGCCACAAAACTCTCACTCAGAACCGTCCCAGACACTTACATGGGACAGCTCTCTGCGCTGGCTTACTGCACACGGCGTACTGCGTATAAACTCGCACACGGGCGTGTTATGTGTAACCTGCACGTGAACACCTCCAGTCTTCTGAGGGCCTGGGGCAGCGACAGCCCAGCAGTAACAAGCACCCAGATATTGATTTTGACGGTCTTTATCCACAAAAAAGGAACCAGGGATACCTGGGGAAGCGATCAACGCCAGAGCTGGGCTGAGAAAGCACAGGCTGAGCCCAGAAGATCTTAATGTGCTGGGAGCAACAAGGGCCCAAGGGAAGGGCTAGCAGGGACTCCATAGGCCAGACCTGGGGCAACCTGGCATCAAGGAACAGTGGTACTGGGGCCGGCCCTGTGGCTTGGTGGTTAAGTGTGCGTGCTCCACTACTGGTAGCCTGGGTTCAGATCCCAGGCGCGCACCGATGCACCGCTTCTCCGGCCATGCTGAGGCCGCGTCCCACATACAGCAACTAGAAGGATATGCAACTATGACATACAACTATCTACTGGGGCTTTGGGGAGAAAAAGGGAAAAAAAAGGAGGAGGATGGGCAATACATTTTAGCTCAGGGCCAGTCTTCCTCAGCAAAAAGAGGATTGGCATGGATATTAGCTCAGGGCTGATCTTCCTCACCAAAAAAAAAAAAAACAAAAAAACAAAAAACAGTACTAATGGACTGCTGGTGAATGAGACAGAAGCGAATAAACAAACTGAAAGTCTGATGAACAATGAGATATTTACATGTTTCAAAGAACCTCCTCACAAAACCCTTATTAATGACAGAGGGACACAGAGTAACTTCACTGTGGAGAAGCCTGGCAGATCTCACCTCAATCAAGTGGTCCAAGTGAACATCACTAGAAATGGGACACGGTGAAATTGTACACCATGTAACAGGACGCAGGGAGAACCCAGCATTCCTTCTGTGCCATCCCTGTGTCTTAGCTGTCTGGGCTGCTATGACATAGACTGGGTGGCTTATAGACAACAGAAATTTTTCTCTCACAGTTCTGCAGCCTTGGAAGTCCAAGATCAAGACATCGGCAGATTCAGAGTCGGTGAGGGACTGCTCCTTGCTTCATAGATTGCCATCTTCTTGCTGTGTCCTCAGGTGGTGGAAGGGGTGAGGAAGCTCTCTGGGGTCTTTTTTTTGTGTGTGTGTGTGAGGAAGATCAGCCCTGAGTGAACATCCATGCCAATCTTCCTCTTTTTGCTGAGGAAGACTGGCCCTGGGCTAACATCTGTGCCCATCTTCCTCCACTTTATATGGGATGCTGCCTCAGCATGGCCTGACAAGCAGTGCATCGGTGCGTGCCTGGGATCTGAACCCAGGCTGCCAGCAGCGGAGGACACGGGCCCTGGCGCCTCTTTTCTATGGGCACTAATCCTAATCACAAGGGCTCCACCCTCATGACCTAATCACCTCTTAAAGGCCCCACACCTCCTAATACCATCACAGTGGGGGTTGGGTTTCAACACATGAACTTAGGGGATACAAACATTCAGGCCATGGCACTCTGCCCAAGATGCGCAACCGGAATCCAGTCATGAGGAAACAGCAAAGTCAACCTGAGACTCGTCTACAAAATTAACTGTTGTGATCTTCAAAAATGTCAAGGTCATGAAAGTCACAGGTTAGAGACCAGAGAGACGTGACTGTGGACTGGGTCCTTTGTTATCAAGGACACTAGTGGGACCAATGGGGCAACCTGAACGGGGCCTGGTGACCAGACAGTAGGAATGGACCGTGTTACTGTCCCTATTTTGACAGGTAGGTAGGAGCTACTCAAGGATATGGTGGGGAGGGGGTGAGGTACTAACTTATTCTCAAATGGTCCTGGGCAAGTATTTTGTACTGTACTTCCAACTTTTCTGTTAAGTTTGTTATTGCTTAAAAAATTTGAAAAAGAATGCTAAAAAAATTAATTTTCAAATAAACAAATGCTGAGAATTCTATGCCAGGAGAGCTGCCCTATAAGAAACGTTAAAGGAGGGAAATGTAGCAGGTATGGGAAGGAGAGGAGAGCCTCATGCTGGGCAGCAGGAGTGACCACCTTTTCTCTGCTGCTTCCCCTCTTCACATTCCCAGTTTATACATTCTTGTCTTGTTCCTTGCAGATGCTGAAATGCATTAAATATCAAGAATAACTTTTTTTTTAAA